GAAGCAGGCACCTGCCCAAGGGCTTCATTTCTAGTAACAGTGAATGAGGAGCCTTGACTGCAAGGGTTTCTTAAACCTATCTGTCTATCTATCTATCTACGATCTATCTACCTATCTACCTATTTATCACCTGTCTGTCTGTCTATCTATCATCTATCTATCTATCTATCTATCTATCTATCTATCTATCTATTTTTGTGCCAAGGACCTTTTAGCAGTCTGGTGAACCCTACTGAGCCCTCTCAGCAAAAGAATTTTGTTGTTGCTTTATTTTTGGTTTGGGGTTTTTAAGACAGGGTTTTTTCTGTATAACCATCCTGGCTGTCCTGGAACTCTCTCTGTAGAGACTGGCCTCAAACTCAAAGAGATTCCCATGTTTCTGCCTCCTCCGTGCTGGGGTTAAAGGCGAGAACCACCACCACCCAGCACAAAACAGTTTTCAATGGATAAGATACAATGAATTAGCAATGAAATTATTACTTAGTTATCAAAACAGCTTTAGACTAGAAAATAATCACAGGTGCTTCTAGGAGTCTGTTTTGAAGTGCTGCAGGGCCTTGCCCATGCTAGTAGGCAGTAGCTTCACCACTGAGTCATACTCTCAACCATACCTCGTGCACTATATATTATATATGAGCAGGGTCTCCGTTAGCACAAGCTGGCCACTAGCTGAGGATGGTCACAAACTCCCGAGGATTCCACACGAGCACTACCATGACCTGCCTGCATCTGTACTCGTATTAAGACATTAAGTAGCAAACAGGCAGCAGGCCTTGCTGTTGCCTCTTCTCCTGAGTGAAATGCTATACTTCGAGTGGAGAATTGTAAAGATGAAAGAGTTCTTTCCAAATCCCAGGTGTGGCTTACCTGGATTCCATTTGTGGACGCTAGATTTAGAAGCTTTTGCTCAGAGCGTGGAAAAAAGAAAGAAAAACCCGTTATTTTTGGTGACATGTCAACTCCGAACTGGAGCCTTACAAATGCACACCCATTTGTGAGCTGCGGGAACCAAGAGACTGAGCAATATATTTTTATCCCCAAAACCTGATGGGCCACTCGTCAGCAAGAGAGCGCATGCTTCAGAATGACTTCAGAAGGGGCTCTGAGGCCCTGGCAGCTCAGCTAGTCAGTCTGCAGGCAGGAAACCATGAAAGCAGAGACAGGTCCAACACAGGAGCACCCAGCCTTTCAGGAGCACTGCTTTCTTTGTGAAGGGCTAAATAATACAATTTTCTCCTTCGGTCTGTTTCAGGCTGCTTAACTTCAAAACAAGATTTTTTTTTCCTAAAATGTAATTACATTTATCTACTTTGGGGAATAGAGGGGCACATGTGTGCTGCCATGCAGGTGTGGTGGGAATAGAGGGGCACGTGTGTGCTGCCGTGCAGGTGTGGTGGGAATAGAGGGGCACGTGTGTGCTGCCGTGCAGGTGTGGTGGGAATAGAGGAACACGTGTGTGCTGCTGTGCAGGTGTGGTGAGAATAGAGGAACACGTGTGTGCTGCCGTGCAGGTGTGGTGGGAATAGAGGGGCACGTGTGATGTGGAATAGAGGAGCATGTGTGTGCTGCCCCTTAGATCTTGGTCTCTACTATGTGAACTCTGGGTCAAACTCAGTTTACCAGCCTTGATGGCGAGCACTCACACCTACTGAGCATCTCACCAGCCCCATCTCCGTCTTTCTGAAACTCAGAGCAGAAAATTTTTCCAAATCTGCATGATCTTTTACATGAAATACCAATTAGTCAATCTGTACACTGTTACAACTTTTAAAAGTCTGTTTTGTGCATAACTACTTGAAAAAGGGCAATCATCTCACTGTCTCATGCGGACTGTGGGGGGGTATGTGTGTATGTCACACTCACAGAAGCCAATGTAAGGTCTTTTCCACTGTCACTCTCCACTTTAATTTTTGAGGCATGACCTTTCACTGAATTTGAAGCTGGCCATTTGGGCTAGACTGGCCATCCTGAGAGCCCCCGGGATCCACGAGTCTCTGCCTCCCCAGGGTTGGGGTCACAGAGGCAGTCCTCTGCCTTTGACCCAGGTTCCCATGCCTGTGCAGCAAGCACACTGAGCCCTCTCCCCCAGCCCAGCACTAGCTGCTTCTCTGCCGCTCTGACACTGGATGCGTGCCCATGTGAGTTCTAGCACTATCACTTTAAGACTCACAGAATCAGCCCATTTCAGGCTATTTAGTCTTTGTTAACTATGTGTGTCCCCAATTGGTGCCTGCAGACAGAACAGAGTATATGCCAGAAAGCCTTCTTGGGGACTATCTTGATATTGCTAAAGAAACAGAGAGGTCAGAGAACAAGACTTTATTTAATCAGGGTCCCATCACACTGAATAGCTCTTAAATCCCAAACTACTTCCCCAACTTTAAAGTGATAGCCAAGTTTAAATTCTCAGCTAGCCGGGGCAGTGGTGGCACAGGCTTTTAGTTTCAGCACTGGGGAGGCAGAGGCAGGTGGATCTCAGTGAGGTTGAGGCCAGCCTGGTCTACCAAGCAAGTTCCAGGACAGCCAGGGCTATTTCATAGAGAAACTCTGTCTTGAAAAACCAAAAACAAATAAATAAATAAATAAATAAATAAATAAATAAATAAATAAATAAATAAAAATAAAATACTTGGCTAAAAAGAGTAACTAGATCAATCATTTCTCCGCCTTCAATTAAGTAGTGGCCACAACCAAGATTTGTGACTATGAGACAATAGCTGGCTAGAATTAGCAAATAATTCAAATTCCACTTGTCTGACTAGAACAAGATGACCCCATTAAAATCCTATGTGGCATTTTCTCATATTGTGCAACCTAGGACAAGAATCACAAGCATTAGAATGTAGATCTAAACCTAAATCAACTTCTCAGTTTGCTCTACAAATTTCCTAGTAACATTTTACCATGCAATTCAGAACAGCAGCTAAAATAAAACTACTGTACTTCACAAGTAAACAAGAAATTCTAGCATTAACTAACGCAGACCATTCTTAGCCTCAAGAGTAATTTCATCAAGAAAATTTCCTAGACAGTCTCTGCTCACCCATATTCATGTCCCAAAGGACCAGGCATGCAGTGATAGCAGTTTCTATTTAAATGCACTTGCTATTTCTAAAAACATTCTCTCAAGTCCAGTGGGTGGAACATAAGGCTTCATTAAAACCTAACTAGTTCTCTATTTTACATGCACTTTTAGTGTGCAAGACTCAGAAATATGAGGGGTGGGGGACAGACACAATTCAGGGATACACAATCCGGACCAGCATCTGCTACTCCCATTCTTCTCCCTTAAAGAGCTCCCCTAAGCTAGCAAGAAGCAACACCCACCAATAATAGCGTGCTCCACTGTTAACCAACTTCTGCTGAAAAAGTGGCAACCCCTGAAATTTTTACCTACCCACTTATTCATCTTTCTTTCTACTTATACCTTAATCAGCACCAAAATGGAAGTGTTCCATCTACCACCATACAATACCCTATGCCCACGACGTAGTTGGCATGTAGTATAGAGGTGAGCGTTCTGTCTGCCTCCAGCCATTAGGTAAGAAACCACTGCGCCGTCCTGGCTCCAGGAAAAGCCCAGTAAAGGGTGGTGCAGGTGCTACCGGCAATGTATTCACATAGACACTACATGACAAGTCTCTGGCATAAATCCTTTCTCTGGCTATGAACACAAAACCTCTCCAGACTCATTCTACACTACTCTGAAACATCTCAGCAGATTGCCTCAAAAGGAAATAGCGAAATGGCTCTGGCACAAGTTAATCTTCTGTGTCAAATTCAGTGTTAAGCATACTCTGAAGCCAGCCACATAAACAAAACCAAACTCCACAAAATTAGGCTAGGCTGAAGTTACATAAGACAGACTAAACTGTGGCTTTCCCCTGTTACTCCTCCCTCTTCCCTGCGAACTCTGACAAGTCTCTTAAGTGCATACAATTCCCGTGCAGGTGCGGAAGGCGCTCATCTGCTGAGCTTCCAAATAAGCAATGGTATTTCCAGTACCACCCCACTTGAAATGCTAGTTACAACCCGAGGAAGACTAGGAAACTGTAGACGAGTTAACTCTAGACGCTCAAGTGTTTTTAAAAATTATTTTTAAGCCGGCACTTACTTCAACGTAGTCAGCAAAACGCATTTCTCCCAAGTTGCCAGTGTCTCTGCATAGGGAGGGCTCCTCGCGTGTCTAAGCCCACCCAGCAGCGCCCGTGCCGGTCTGAATACAGATCTTTCAACCGAAGACAAAAGCGCGGGTTCCCTGGAGCTGGCACATCCAAAGGGAAAACAATCCTTCCCAGCAGCACCAAACCCAAGTTGCTCCAGCTCGGAGTTTCCAGCACTTTCCGCCTCCCCCTCGCACTCCGTTTTCATTGCCCACTTTAATCCTGCGAAGCCTCCCTCCTGGCTTATTACGGGTAAACAATAGAAATGTCACAAGGAAGCTCAGGAAGTAGATGAAGTCTCTAATTGCTGCCGTTTAACGATTGTAGATAATTACTATCTTCAAAATGTGGTTTCACCAACGGAGTGGGAGTCGAGGCGGGCAAGCTGGCGAGCTCCCCACAGCCGCCCCGAGGGTATCTGCAAGGCCCGGGCCCGAGGGGTACGGAGACCCAGGGGTGCGGGGGCCTGAGTGGTGCGGAGTGCCGGGGAATCCGGGAACTGTGGGTGAGGGGACCTGAGAAAACCAGGAGCCGGTCCAGGCCCTCAGCCGGGCTCACTCAGGGAGCAGAAAAGCGGAGGCCAGCCGGGCCGCCCGGGTCACAGACCGGAACAATGCGCAGCCCCGGCGGAACGCGCTATGGGCTCCGGGGCCGGGGCTCGGCGCTCGTGGTGCTCGGGGACCAGAAGTCCCCAACCGCCGCCAGCTCCCGGCTGCACCGAGCGACGCCACACGGTGCCCAAGCACTCTCCGGGTCGCGGCACAGAGCGCCCCGGGGACCCGGGCCCGAGGGAGCGCATCCCTCCGCGACGCCCCGACGCCCGTGGCCCCAACTCACCCCAGGACCACCAGCTCCCCGTATTTCACCGGCTCCTTGTCGGGGGCGCTGGGCTCCTCCTGGCCGGGGGAAAACATGGAGCCGCGCTCGGCCGCCGCAGCCGCCTCCACCGCGATCCCCGCCGAGTCCGCGCCACCGCTACACTCCCATCCCGAAAACGGGGTGAGCGCGCCGGGGAACGGCACGGCGGCAAACGGGGCGCGGGGCGGCCAGTCCCGCGGCTGCTCCGTCGTGGCTGCGCGCGTCGCCCGCCGGCTTCCCCCTCGAGCTCCGCGCTCCGCGGCCGCCGCGAGCCCGACCCGGCACGGAATGCGAGCGGCCGACCCGAGCCCCGCGGGAGGAGGAGCGCGCGCCGCCGGGGGGCCGAGCGGGCCGGGCAGGTGGGGCGGCCGCGTCGCCGCCCGCGCCTCCGCGCTCCCGAGGCCCCCGCCTGCCCGCCCGCCAACCCCCGCGGCCAGCGAGCGCCCTGTGTTATGTAAACATAGAGTAAAGGGGAAGGGAAGCCCTTAAAGGGGCAGCTCTGTTTTTCTCCCCACTTCCTCCGGAAAGTTGGATTGCGGGGTCCTCCGGCCTCAGCCGCGTGCCCGGGGCTCTCTGCCCGGCCCTGGTTGGAAGCCCGGCATTTTGCTTGCCGTGTCCGTGTTCACGTTGGAAGTGCTGCCCACACCGACCTGGGGGTCTCTGCTTCTAAGGTCAAGCTCTTGAGGATAGCGGGAAAACGGCAGGAATCTGTTCATTAGTCAGGGGCTGGGGGCTGGGGGAGGGACTTGGGAGGCACCAGGAGCTCCCCACCACTTCAAGGGAAAGAAGGGAGAACAGAGAAAAGAGAAGGAAGAAGGAGGAGAGAAAGAAGGAAAACAAAAAGTTAAACTTTATTTTAAATCCCTTATACGTCACTGTCCCTTCTTTTAACCCCCTAGGGAATTACCTAGGTGGACTTGTTTTTTAATGAATACAAATGTTCCTTTATTGCCGTGGTTTAATCAAAGCACCGTTTGTATTTTATGTTTTTTACATTACTATGTCTTTAAAATATCATAGACTGTGATAGTTTTACTGACTGCTGTTTTTCATCATAGAGGAATTTATTATTCTAGCATTTATTAAGCCCTTGCAACACGCTAGAGACGCTACATATTATTGCCTGTCACTGCCTTTCCAGACTATTAAATATTTAAAGAAATAAATACTGCAAAAGCTACCCGATGTATAAACAGCTAGTGTCACACACACACACACACACACACACACACACTTAGGCTATGACTCTAAGAGCTATCAGAGAAATAATTGCATGGGTAGCCTTCCATTCTTCTGTTCAGCGCTGAGTGTGTATCACTCTCTGACAGGCTATTACTGTGTCATGCTTTCTGGAATTTTACTTCAGTTAGTAACTGGCTTTTTCTTCTTTTAATTGAGGCTTTAGAAATAAATTACTCCAGAGTAACAAAAGCCACACTATTGATGAGCCTAAAATAAACTTTATTAAGCAATTACCTTATTTCCGCTAATGGCAGAAATTCTGTTCTCATACTAAAGACAGCTATCCAGCTTACTGTACATATCCTCTGGAGTTTGCTCTGCTGTGAAAATGTAAAAGGTTTAAGCAGCGACCCTCCACTGGAGAGTTGAATTCTTCCTCTTCACACAGTGTTGTTAGATTTTTGTGAGATTAGTGTAGCTTTCTTTCCTCTCTGGTCCTACTTACTGTATAGATGTGTGACTACCAACGGCCCTTTGAATCGTGCCATAGTTATCCATATCCCTAATTACAGTACCTAACTCTGTCATCTGAACTTCTCCAGAGTGCCCCCATTGCTGCTGCTGATCTCTAGTCTACAGTTCCCCCTTTCTCTCTTGGCATGCTGTGGTTTCCTGCTTGCTTACACTGTTCTGGCTCCGTTTCTTTCTTGCTGCGCTCCACATCTGCTGATGGGAGGATGGAGACAATACTTACTCACCTCCTACTAAGTTCCAAACTCTAGGCTAAGTTGCCCATAAGCTGTCTGGGCATTGGCAGAGCTTCCTCCATTGCTATCAGCCGCCCAGACACCTTTGCCTCCACAGGGGCATCTTTCTCTCCCAGCCTGACTCAGGCCTGTCACAGGGTAGCATCTAATCACGTCTGTCTTTATGAAAGTTACTTACACGTAGTGTTGCTTTCTCTGAGTTTTTCTATCAATGTAGACTTTGATGTTAGGCAGCTCAGGCAGGGCTAGTAGGTAGATCACTTCTGCCAGTCACTGTAAGCCTTGCAAGCTTCCAGAGTCAGTCTGCTGACCGCCAGCAGGAATACATGCTTAAGGGACACAGGCATGGGAAATTCAAATGAGGACTGTGGCACGTTGGTGGCCTGTGCCCTCTCAAGGGAGTATCAGACACTCATCTCTACCTAATTATTGCCACGTGACAATGACAGCTCACTCCTCTGTATGGGAATCACGTTTTAAGTCCCCAGCCCTGATTATGCTTAACCTCCCAATATTGAATGGTCAGAAATACATTCAAGCGTTTTGGGATTTGCATGTATGATATGCTCTGCTTGACTGCCCTTTAAACACAGTGTGGGCCCATTAAAACTGTGTCCTCTTTCTAGGTGGTTCCCAAGTCCCCAGATTTGCTTTTGCTGATTTTTAGGAAGCAGCTATGAGTGAAAATAAATGAATACTCCTCAAATGATATCAAACAGCGGAGCTGGGAGGTAGTGGTGGACTTGATGTTCTTAGTAGCGATGCTCTGGGACCCTAAAAAAGCCAAACTGTATCTCTCTATTCCCATCCCTCCCCTCATCAGGTATCTGCTTGCAGCTTACACCACTAAGAGCATAACCAGCATCCCAGCTAACACTTGGAATCCAACTGTAACAGGAACTTATTCCCCCCCACCCAATGTAACGTAATTGTTTTACTAGCTCTAGGCTGGTGGGACAATCTGGCTATACCATCTGCCAATCCACTGAGAGCCAGGGTGGGGTTGGCTGTCCTTGCCTCCCCCACCAGCCCCTTCCCTACCCTCCCTGCTGGCTCTGTCGTGTATGTCCCCAAACCACTTCAGAAGCCTTAGTTTCTAAAATAACTCAATGCTTCCCCTTGATGTCTCTCCCTGATAGATCCACCTCCTTCCCTTTCAATGGAAGAGCTTTAGTCAAAGGTTATATTTATTTTGACATACTTGAAATAAAACCTGCCATACACATCACCATATTTCTAGAATGAAGAGTCTAACTTTTGATCACACCATATTTATCTTTACAAAAACTAAGGAACAGCAGTTCTGTCTCGAAAATAGGTATTTGGAAAAGTAGATTTCATGGGTGTGAAGCATCAGACATTTGACTTTTAAACCGTGTCTTTAAGTAGGCATCATGCTGCTATTTGTTTCTGACTGAGAAAGCAATGTGAGTTCTTTGCCAAGCACTTGGAAACTGTGAGGAAGAGGAATTTTTGAAACCCATTTTTAAAAATCGCCCATATACTCGACTGGAAATAACCCTATTTATCATGCTGTGTTTTCCTTTTTAAAACATATTTTTACACCTTTATTTATTTGTCTGAAGGAAGGAAACGTGCATGCACACATAGGTCTCAGGCCACCAGGCTGGTAGCAAGTATTTTTACTTCAAATTGCAGGCTTTCCCCCGCTTTCTTTCTTTGTATTTGCGAGTGCACATTTTGTATTTGACATATCCTCCCTTACAGAATTTGTTGTCCTGATTTTTCCTTTTAATATTAGATTCCGAGTGGTTTTTTTAAAACTAAACCCTCATGATAATTTGGGGAATTTGATCAAAAGTATCAACATTTATTAATCATTTCTCCCTTATGGAATATTTTTAATTTTTTTCACTTATAAAGGTATTTGCATCTGTTACAATTTTGCAGAAATGGAGCTCTACAAATAATTACTACATCAAAGGGTGTACACATTTTAAAGACCTTTCGATGCATACTTCCAAAGTGTTTCTTGAAATGAACAGGGCCTGCCAATCTACAGGGCACCCCAAGTAAAGGAGCACCTACGGGAGAGCCCAGAGGCGTTTTGAAATCCTCACTGGTTGGACAGGTAATCCTTTTGTTACTTGCACTTTTGTGATTACTACTCTGAGGTGTGTTCACTTTTACTTTGATTGTGTAACAACACAATGTGAGAGCTAGCTTCATTCATCTTAAGCACACACACACTCCTGTGTTGTGGATTAAAAGCGGTGTTCTACCACAGGGTCCTGGAAGCTTTGCCTGGTGCATGACTGGATCTTTCCGCCCATTGGGCAGCATCTTCTCTCTCCCTCCCTCCCCCACAGCCTCTTCTCCTGCAAGTGAATCACACAGCTTTCCTTCTATGACCTGCTTACTATGAATATCATATGATCTCAAAACGCATCCATATTGCAGAATGTGATGAGATTTCCTTGTCTAGACTGACTTTTCTCTTTTCCCCACCCATTCCTTTTTGATGGACACTGTAGATGCTGCTGCAATGACCACAGTAGTAAGTATCTCGCAGAGATCTGGAGTTCGACTCTTTTAATAGGTAGTTAGATGTAGGTTTGTGGGCTCGTATGACAGTTTGGGGATGTTTTGTTCCTTTTGAGGAGCCCCCATCCTGTGTTCAACAGAAGCCATGCCGTGTCTCTTCCTATTAACGTGGCACAAAGGTTCCCATTTCTCCTCATTTCTCCTCATTCTCCCCAGCCATGACTTTCTGTTCTGCTTCCTTTTTCTTTGTGAAGTGGTCCTAACAGGCATGACGTGAACTGCATCGTGGTTTTGATTGGCAACTTACTGATCCTAAGCATCTTTTTTACTGTATCTGTTGATGTATTAACATCTGTTGATCGTTGTGGATTTGTACAATGTCTTTAAATAAATGCCAATTTAAATTTTGCACATTTTCAGCCTGCCTGGGTTTGCTGAGCTCTGTGTTGTTTGTTTTGCTTTTGGAGGACAGGCACTCTTTGCCTATTTTAGATATTAAGCCCTTGCCAGACAGGCAGTTTGTAAACGTTTTTCTCTCAGAAGCTTGAGGGCCACTTGGCTCACTGAGTGCCCTTCATTCTGATGTAGCTCTGCCTGCCACCTTTGTTTTGTTATCTGTACAACAGCCCGGAAACCAACCATGTGGACACCCCCAACTCTTTTCTATCTTCGGTCTTCTCACTCTCTGAGTTTAAGAATTTGAGGTCTTGGCATTTTTTGTTTTGTTTTCTTTTTGAAACAGGGTCTTATTTTGTATCCCTGACTGGCCTTGAACTCACAGAGATCCTCTGCCTCTGCCTCTTAAATACTGAAATGAAAGGTGTTTGTAACTGAGCCCTGGCATGGCATGTTTAAGTGTGAGAAGTAAAACCCAGAGCTTTGTACATGCTAGGCAACTACTCCATCCCTGAGTTACATGCCCAGCCC